AGGCCCCGTGGCTCCTGGACGCCCCTCTCCAGAGGACGCTGCGTGGAAGAGGCCGCACGGCTGCCCCTCGCTCCCACTCAGACCAGGACCCTGGGGTGGGCGCCGGCTCTGGCTCGGGGACACTGGCCCCTCGGGGACGTGAGTCTGTCCTTCGCCAGCCGACCGGCAACTCCCCCATGGGGGCTGCTCTCTGCAGCCACCGTCTCTCAGGCCTGGGAAGGAGGGGGGACGGCGCCACTGCCCACTCCTCTGTCCTGCGTCCACCGTCCGTGGCTGCGCTGGACATCCCCCGTTGCTCTCCAGAGGTAGCCGGAGGTGAGTGGTCATGGCAGCCTGGCCCTCCTGGCTTGTTCCCTTGGCCCTTCACATCCGTAGCACATGCCGGGACCCCAACGCCCCCAAGAGAGCCCCCCAAGCGGAGGCTGCCCTCCGGGGCTCAGCAGTGGTCTCGGCAGCCAGGCTGAGCTGCCCCTCAGCCGTGGCCTCCAGCCCAGCCGCGCTTGCCCCACCTGGGACACTCCCGGTGGCCAATCCTGGGTGTCCACCTGCCCAGTCCCCTTGCAGGGGCACGTGACCACGCCGTCCGCCTGGCCTCCCCACGCTGGGTGGCGGCCACCCTGCCCTCTCCGCAGGCAGCGCCCACGTGTCCATCCTCCGGGAGGGCACCGGCGGGCAAGGCACGACTCTGAGGGACTCTGCGGTCGGTATCAGCGTCGGGCCGGACCTGCAGAGCACTGTTGTCCGTGGGGTCTGACACGGCAGTGCCCGCATGCCCTGTGCCCGCCCCCCGGGGTGAACCACAGGGCAGGGTGAGGTCCCAGAGTCTGGCCATGCAAGGTCAGCAACTGTCCTCTAAAAACTGGGAATTGAAACTGCTGTGGCAGGAGGCAGCTGTGGGGAGTCCGGGGCTGCCCGGAAGCCAAGGCCAGGCCACCACGGGCCTGCCGGAGCCGAGCAGGCCTGCGGGACCCCGCTCGGTAGACTTGGACCCCATGGGGATTCCCTATGTACCCCCACCCAGCGCCGTCTCCTCTGGAAACCTCCACGGAGGTGCCCCCCCATCCCCGGCTCAGGTCACGGCCAGTAATGCCACTGGGACCGCTGCTCAGGGAAGGGCAGCTGGGCTGCAGGCCCACCCCTCCCGCAGGCCCCGCCC